GGGTGAACCATTTGGTGGACGGAAGACAACAAAGAGGACTGGTTTGCTCGCTCTGTGTGCTGCGCTCAGATTTTATCGGTGTAAATACATTGGCAAATAGTCGCGTCCCGTCTCATTTTACGTAACAATATAAAGCAAGAATAGAAAAAGCAGAAAACAGAACACAAGTGCACAAAGTACGAAGCATACAACTAACCATTTAACTTAGCTGAGCTACAAACATCTCTAAACTCCTGCAGTAATTCTGCCCTAGGCTACGACCGTGTCATGTATGAAATGTTGAATAACCTACCGCTCAAAACGCGAAAAAATTTACTCTCCCTATACAATGCTATGTGGATTTCTGGCACCATGCCTACTTCTTGGAAAGAGGCTATTATCACTATTTTGAAACAGGGCAAGGACCCTTCCTCAGTTTCGAGTTATAGGCCCATTGCACTTACAAGCTGCCTTTGTAAACTTTTTGAAAAGATGATAAACCGCCGACTTTTACATTTCCTTGAAACACACAATCTGCTCGACAGATTCCAGTGTGGATTTCGAGAGGGTAGATCCACCACCGACCATCTGGTTCGTATTGAGGCAGAGATCCGAGACACTTTCGTCCACAAACAATACTTCCTCTCCGTGTTCCTCGATATCGAGAAGGCTTACAACACATGTTGTTTTGACATATTAAGAGACTTGTCTCACTGGGTGTGCGTGGTAGAATGCTTTCCATAATCGAGAGTTATTGTCCAATCGGACATTCTGGGTCCATGTGGGCAGTGTTCTCTCCCAAACATTTGTCAAAGAAATGGGAGTACCGCGAGGTGGTGTACTTAGTTGTACACTTTTTATTATCAAAATGAATTCCTTGAACCTGTCCATCCCCCTCAATATGTTCTATTGTACATATGTCGATGACGTCCAGCTTGGCTTTAAGTCATGCAACCTGGCAATGTGTGAGCGGCAGGTTCACTTAGGTTTAAACAAGGTCTCCAAATGGGCAAAGGAAAACTGATTCCGACTGAACCCACAAAAAAGCATGTGTGTCTTGTTCTTTCGAAAGAGAGGCATGCACTCAGAACCTGACATTCAACTGAACGGTCAACTTCTGTCTGTTAATGCCGAGCATAAATTTTTAGGCCTATTCTTGGACAACACGTTTACCTTCATACCGCACATTAAGTATTTAATAACAAAATGTGTAAAAGCCATGAATGTTCTAAATGTGTTCTCACATTCTACGTTGGGTAGTGACAGGCAATGTCTCATAAATTTGTATAGAAGCTTCATTCGCAGCTGCTTGGACTATGGGGCCGTTGTTTATTAGTCTGCGACTTGTGCTTTGAAGATGCTGGACCCCGTGCACCATTTGAGCATTCGCTTTTCTATGGGTGCTTTCCGCACTAGCTCTGTGGAAAGCCTGTATGCGGAATCGAATGAGTGGTCACTCCACTTACAGAGATGTTACACATCTTTTGTATACTACCTCGAGGTGAACGCAGACAAAGAACACCCTTCTCATCTCACAATCAATGATCAGCCTTATTCTGCCTTGTTCCACAGCCGTCCTTCGTTGAGGCAGCCCTACTCACTTCGTGTGAGAGGCCTCGCCGAGGAAACAGATGTGCCACTTCTAGAACACTGATGGCTCCTGCTGCATATCTGCCGCTGTGACAGTGGCAGCTTATAGACTGTGACTTATATTTTGCAAAAGTCACAAAGCATGTGCCTGTTGCACACATCCGCACATACTTTCATGAACTCCAACACAAATACAGTTGTCCCGAATTCTACACCGATGCCTCGGAGACTAACACTTTTGTCTCGTACGCTGCGGTTGGCCCATCCTTTTCAGATGCCATTACTCTTCATCCTAACACAAGCATCTTTACTGCAGAAGCTCATGCGATACTTGCGACTGTTAAACACATTAAACAAATAAAACTACAATGCACAGTAATATACACAGATTCCTTAAGCGTGGTAAAAGCCCTCAAAAACCTGAAAAAACAAATTCCGTTCTTGTATCTCTTTACTTGCTCCTATGCACAGTATACTCACTCAACATGTCGTAGTGTGCTGGGTGCCAAGACATCGCGAGATAGAAGGAAACGAATTGGCAGATCACTTGGCTGCATCTGCCAAGCCAACCAATGCCAATACAACAATTGCGATCCCTGCACTCGACCTGAAACCTCTCCTCAAACGAAACCTCAGGGCTTTTTTTGCAGCGCACATGGGATACGCACACACGGAATACACTGCATGCTACCAAGCAGCAACTCGGTCAGTGGCTGGCACTGTCTAAGTCACGCCGCACACAAGTTACACTAACACGGCTAAGGATAGGGCGCACATACACGACACACTCATACCTTTTGTCTGGTGACGGTCCACCATTGTGTGAGAGATGTGAGGAAGCACAAACTGTGCTTCACATTTTAATTAAATGTAAGGAATTAGACATCCTTAGAAAACAATTCTTCCCATTACGCTACCAAAAACAAATACCATTCCATCCTGCAATGTTTACCGGCAGGGAACCACTTTTCAAACTCGAGTCATTGCTGTCATTTTTAAAACAAGTGCAAGATTTTCAAGTGATTTACCTAGGGAATTCGTAGCACGACTTCTGAAAAGGGGTCGCTGCTGCGGTTATTACAAAAAACTCAGCACATGCCTCACGACCCTTGTGTACAAGGGCGTTCAAAAGGCATTTGTGCTAATGCCAATTATCACCATAGTTATATCATCACGATCCTTCGACAACCATTCTCACTAGACACCTTTCACGTCACTGTCATAATTTTAATACTGCTGTGTTTTACCCGCCACAGTGCGTGGAAGCTTTAGGCCCTTATACAGCCAGATGTCAAACATCACATCCCTTGTCTCATGAAATGGCACTCTTTGGCCATCATACGGCCCTTGCGCCATAAAGCATCACACATTATCATCAACCATGTGCGTGGGAGTAGCAGACGCTCTCATGGTAACACTGTGTAAGATACACGCTTAAGCTTTGGGCCACTTGTCAGCTTGCATGCAAGACGCGTTCTACGGCAACGCCGGCGCCCATCGCCTGTTGCATTTTTGGCTCGCTAAAAATGCAGCATGTGTTTCCAATTTCAGTTGCCGGCATACCATAGCCTCGTTCGCAGGCTATGTGTTGTGTTTGTTCTGAAAATACATCATTACGAAACAGCAATCTTTTCTTTCTAAGAAAGTATAAAAAGGTTTTGCTGTTTTTAGCTTTCACTCGTATGGCCTAGCTACCACCATATGAATATTGCACGCTATTGCTCGCGTCAAGCCAATCAAAAGCGAACAGTGTTTGTCGTCACGTCACACGACATGACGTCACTTCTTATAACAAAAATAGCCGATGTGTGGTGCCGTAGTCCAAAATCAAGGTAATTTGTCCCGTGAATTAAAATTATAGCCGCATCGATTTCGGCGTTGCCATGTGCGCAATGATATCGGCGCGTTCCACAGCACCAGCAGAGCCAATGAAAAATACGTGCTCAAATAGTGTCGCAGGGCCCCTTTAAGGGAATAGGCTCAGTAGCGTGTGTGCCTTTTGTAGTGAGGTACTGGCTTTCAACCACGGAGACATTATGATAATCACATCAATGGACGTTTCTACCACGCTTTATGACTGCAATATTTTTGATGTTGCATTGCGAAGCATGCATACAGTACGCATGTGTTTGTGAAGCATGAAAGATACATTCACTGCATTTCTAAGCAGAGGAAGTTCTTTTCACTGTTTTCACAAACAGAGGTGTGGCCGTGTGGTAGAACATCCACTTGCCAAGCAAACAACACGGGTTCGATCCACACTACTCCGCTCCAAGATTTTTTATCATTTATTTATTTTATTTTCATCGTCGATTTTCTGGTCTCGCATAAGATGATTTTTCGCTCGCAACCAACGACCTTGACGCTGGAATTTCTGCGATGCGAGCTCTTTAACGCTATTGCATTGAAATTTCAACTGCTCCTACATCAATATTGTGAGCGCAGTTATCTACTCTTTGTCAACTGGATGTATCATCATCATTTGTACGACTTTTTCATCTGTACATATCTGGATCATCATGCCAGCTCATGCTCGACTTGGATAAAGCAATTCCTCATAAAATTGTATAAATAATGCATTACAAGTTTACATCATAATTGAGAAATTTTTTGTATTTCTTTTAGCTTTGACTTTAGTACCTGTGGCTAAGGTATTCGGCTGCTGACCCGCAGGTCACGGGATCGAATTCCGGCTGCATTTTAGATGTGGGGGAAAATGTTGTAGGCCCGTGTGGTCAGATTTGGGCGCACGTTAAAGAACCCCAGATGGTCGAAATTTCTGGAGCTCTCCACTATGGTCTCTCATAATAATATGGTGGTGTTGGGATGTTAAACTCCAGATATCAATCAATTTGACTTTAGTACCTGTCAAAATATAAGGATGGTAGGTCTGTAAAGTGCTCACCTTCATTTAGTTAAATTGAAAAGTGCAAGCTCTCATAGTTGCAACTAAAGTGCAGCAATTTAAAGATGCTTTGCCTTTCATTGCTCAATAGTAAGTAGTGTTTGTTATGTGTTATTACTGGTATATGTTCAGAAGAGTGGGCTAGGTTATTTTATCGCGTCCATTTAAAAATGGATACACCCAATCTAATTGTGATCAGGCTCTAAGCAGGAGCAGGCTTTATGAAGGGGCATCTACCCAAAAGGATCACGAAGCTACAAAAAAAAAAAAAAAGCTTGTGTGGTTGCTGTCATGTTGTCTGCATGAGGATTCGGAGCTGTTGTATTAGTTTAACAGAGTATCACCACCTTTTTTTAAGTACAATATATTTATACAGAGTTGCTATGAAGGTCTGGTGGTGGCATTTTCATTGGGGCAGACAGAAATTTAGGCAATCTAAATTCTTTACCACTAACTTGTGTGAGCTTGCACATGCTTGCATACATGATGGATGAAGTGAGCTAAATAGGTCTAAATGTGTTTGCAGCTTCTAGATCTCTTCATGGCAGAGGACTGGTCAACCTATTTCCATGACCATGGAAAGGAGAGCAGCCGGTACCTGCGTGTAAACCCAAGCCTTGCTTTGCTGCTTCTTGAGAAGGTGCGAGAGGCTGACAAAAAGAAGAACATTTTCTCATCGCTAAAGCAGAAGGAACGAGACAAGAAGAAGTTGCAGGAAACTGTGCTCAAACAGCTGCGGCAGCTGGTAGCTTGAGCGACAGACTTTGTGCCAGTGAACAAAAAAAAAATCTGAAACATGTTTTATTGATCGCTTTGGCAACATACTACTGCTGTGTGACCATTCTTGTATACAGTAACAGTAACTCTGCAGCAAGAGAATGTAGGCTACCGGAGATAAGAATCTGCTAACATGGAATAATGCCAAGGCACTCGTTTGCACGAGGGCCTAAAGTGGGCATAACAAGCAAGAAAGACTGCTGCTGAAAGACTGGCATAGGTGAGGAAGCCAGCCAAGTGGCATGCGGCCCATAGACCGTCTTTGGGGCGATGACTAGGAGTAGCATTGGCATTGATGAGCCATCAGCTGCTGTCGCCCAGGAGGGGTGAGCTGCTTTCACCGGGTCGCTCTGGTGCACCACTGCGCAGCATGTGGTCTACCTCAAGATCTGTCCGTGTGACTGGCCGGTCAAGGCGCGATGCCTTGAGGGCCGCCAGGTACACAGACCGGTGCACACGCATGTACACCATGTCTGTCACTGCCTGGACACTGTAGTCTGGCACAAAAGGCTCCTCAGGCACTGGCCAGCTGGCAGGCTCACCAGAAGCCAAATTTTGTTGAGCTGCGCCATCGGAGGTGTCTGTGAAAAAGGTTTCCTTTGGAGTGACAACCACTAACGAAATGTTTATGCATGATAAACTGCAATGAAATTGCGGACTATAAGAAGCAGTTTCAGATATTGTAGATATGATCAACATTTGTGTAAAGCTTTAAAATGAAATGTAATTGAATTCTTTACAAAAACAAAAATGCCACTGTTAGCACTTGCTAAATACAGAGGTGCAAGATCTGCGCCAAAATGCCGGACCAGCCTCAATATCTCAATTGCGATAATTTCAGTGAGATCAATCCAAAAATGCAGACCTTAACTCGAAACTACGGTATAAGTTATGGTTCACCCCCCCCCCCCCCCTGTAAGGTCAGGGCACCTGGGAACGACCAAATAGAGCAACAAAGCCGCGCGCTATCAGTCCGCTGCGGATACCTATAGGCAGGACGACGCAACTTCAAGACAAAAAAGCATTGCCGTAGCCACCAACACTTTGTGGGAAATATGAACTTCCTACTCGGCAAACATAGCTAAAGCATGTTAAAAGAGCTAGAAGCGTATGCCACGTTTTTCGCTTACGAACAGAGTTGACGTTGCCAGCACCTACGTTGGTTGCTATAGCAATGGCACATACATTTTTCTATCTTGAAGTTGCGTCGTCCGGGCAATAGATATCAGTCGCCGGGCCAACAAGTTGTGCCCTAAACCTAATCCTATTGCAAAAAAAAGGGGGGGGGGGGGGGGGGGCAGGATTAGCGGTGTTTCTAACTTGTTCCAAGTCATACAAAACACTACTTAATCCACCTTCGCCGCAGTACACCAGTGCCCTGCAAAAAGCGTGTTATGATTTTGAAGGGGCTGTTAGCACTACTCACGACACTAAACACAGCACATTTTGTTGAATTACTCATGTGTGTATACGGCGCATAATTGTGAGTACTAGTAGGTTGGATGACTGCTCGAAAAGTTGCTGGCAATCATTTTGGAGCTGTTACGAAAATTATAACTGCGCAAAAAATGAGACACGAAAACGAAGTGAACAGGACAATCGCAGACTAAGAACTGGTTTATTGGAAAAGTACAACCCCCCCTTCCCTTTTTTTTAACAAGCTAAGTGCATGCATAATGGCAAACATGACCATGTGGCAAGTTCCAATACTTCTATCTACTAAAAATTAAATCGCATTCTTTGCTGTAAAGATGCATGGAGGAGTCGCTGATGCACTTATCAAGCCCGCGTCTAGCTATCCAAGATGCCTCCTAGATCTCTCTTGCTCTTTGGCTCTTGGCTCGCCCTAACACCTTGGTACTGCTGAAGATGGGCTTGCATCACTTCCCGCAGACGCTGCTTCAGGCTGTAGCAGAATCACTTTTTGAGGGTCATATGCCATCGTACCACAGCCGTTGACGATAATGCAATTGAAGGAAAAGAATCTAAGAGTGAAAGGCGGAAAGTTGAAGAGATGCCGTACCTACACAAGGTATCGCATGGCAGTAAAAAGGTAGCAGGAAGATACGGAGTCGATTTGGTTTTTTCAGTGCCTTGGAAATTATTGCGTTTGTACATCATGTCCAACGCGAGCAAAGTTAACGATGGAAAATGTGGTGTTAAGCACAGATGTGCGTATGTACGTCTCATTTATTAAGATGCCTGTGTTGCCAGCAGAGTCGCCTTCATGAAACTAATCTTATTAATGCATTAGAACTAGTCCAGAATAACGCAGCTCATTTTATTCTTTCCAATTATAATCGAACTGCCAGCATAACAGCCATAAAAACTAACCTATCACTTTCATCTCTTGCAGCCTGGTGCAAAATTTCCCATTTATCATGGTTTCATAAAATATTTCACCACCCAACATTGCACGACATGCTTATTCATAATCCACACCATGTATCGTGTTACATCGACCATTTTTATAAGGTTCATGTTCCTTTTAGCAGCACAAACACATTCTGTCAATAAATTCCTAGGACGTCACTAGAGTAGAACCACCTTCCCCAAGACATTGTATCTGTCAGTGATTACATCTTGTTTCGTATTGCTCTAAACAACAATGCTAACTTGAATGTCATTTACTCACTCATATATATTGCATGTCTGTCTTTCTTGCGTTGCTTTATTTTTATGTTTGTATTCTTTGCATAACTTACCTTCACCTTATGCTTTGTAATGGTTTTGTTCTTTGTATTACATCCCTAGTTAAGCTTTACCTATGCTGTGCAAACCCCTTATTGTCACCACTCTCATCTTTAATGCCTTGTTTGGTTCTAAGGGTACAATAAATGAAATGCTTCAGTGTTGAGCAAGCGCCGCCCGGTGGCATTTGCGACTGACACTATCATCACGGCGTTTTTTACTTGTGGCCCATAGGGGCGCGTCAGTCGAAAGTTATTAGAGATCTGCAACTATACCCGACCGTTTCGGAGGCTCTATGCAAAATGTCAAGTGGTTGCACCGTCCGCCACTAGTGGCGCTAGCGACCGCCACTGATAGAAGATGGAGGGAAAGGGTGTGGCAGCTGTTTTTGTTCTCATGCAGCAGGCATCTAAATATAGGAGGTGCTAGTATGTATCCTGTACAATGGGAGTGGTCTACGAGTTCCCCCTGACCTGTGGAATGGTTTGTGTGGGGTAGACTGGAAGGTGTATTAACATGCGTTTGGTGGAGCATGCTAATTCATTAGGAGACGGGAGTGGGAGGCATCTGCCAGTTCATTGTGGCAAATACGTGCAGGGATGCAAGCAAGGCATTTGGCAGTACCAAGGTGTTGGGGCAAGCCAAGAGAGATCTTGGAGGCATCTTGAATAGCTAGACACAGGCCTGATAGGTGCGTCAGCGACTCATCTGTGTATCTTTACAGCAAAGAGCGCGATTTCACTTTTATTAGATAGAATTATTGAAACTTGTCATGTTTGTCATTGCACATGCGCTTAGTTTGTTTAAAAAATGGGTTGTACTTTTCCAATAAACCAGTTGTTAGTCTGCGTTCGTCCTGTCCACTTTGTTGTCATGTCTTGCTTTTGGCGCAGTTATAATTTTCTTAAATCTCTTACCAACCAGCCCCCCATTATACACTTTTTGATTTGGAGCAGTGCATAACATTTCTGGCGCCCTAAAAAAGAAACTGTGTGGCAGTTTTGTTTTTTTTCCACCACCCCTACAAATCCCCGAATTTCAAGGTCGCCACCTTGCAGATCCACATTTGAATTCAGAGTCAGACACGGCGAATGCTAATGTGGACATTATCATTATTTGCTCAGTGGGGTGGTTCAGAATACCACATTTATTAAAAAGCAGTGATCTTACGTACACTGCACGATTTAGGGCATGCTGAATGATTTGAACACATTTTTTTTTATGTAAGACTTCTTTTTTATACTGCTCGAAATTTAGAATTTCATGATAAAAATGAATGTCTTGTTCCCCGTAACCTGCTCCAAATTTGGATTTTTGTGCTACAAAAGTAACATTTTACGACTCCAAAAATTGCTCCGAATTTTATTTTGGCTGCTGCACCCCTGTAGATACTATACAGAATGCTGAGATTCAATAAGGCTTTCTCGCGTAATCTGGGATTTGAGTTGCATTCACGAAGTGTTCACATATGCTTAAGTGCTGTTGTAGGACAGTTAACAGTACTACCGTTATTGTATTACAATAAATGAGGATTGACTGTAGACATCTTTATGACATAATTATTGTTAATATCAGTTTGATTGCACACCACTAACTTGCAACTAACGTGATGTTTTGCCACATTAGCCATGCAGAAACACTGCCGTGAATATTTTTTTAAATTGAGTTGCGTGTGGATAAAATAAAGAATGCGCTTTTTTTTTTTCAAGCAGTGTATAAAAAAACCTATCCAGCATCACGGGAAACCAATCCTAAGATAGAAAGGAACAGGACGTAGCACACACTACAGAAACTTTGTTTAGTTGTTCTTTTGAGTAAGTTGGTGCAACATTTGGTTGAAGAGCGCAAAGGACGGAGACAGGTACTCATGTACGACAGGACCACCATTGGTACATGCGTGTGTCTTCATCTTTCATGCCGTTTAACTTCACACAGAAACTTATTACTCAAATGCACATAATTATATTGCAGTAACAATGCTTTTCTTGTTTATTAAAACCTTGCGACTGAGTGAACTAGCATGACGCTACAGCAGCGGCTTCATACATTTAAGATGAAACACTACGCAGTATGCCAGTTACTTTTAGTAACCAGAATTTGGGGAGCAACCATTCTCGCAAAAGAATGTTTTCTAGTTGGCATTTTTCATGAAAAGCTAGCCTGCTTGTATCATCAAAAGCAAAGAACAACAAAATACCATGCCTACCAGTGAGATAGTTTAGTTGCTACAAGCATGTATAGGCATACAACAGTAGAACTGTTAGTGGCCCTCTGGTGACAGCAGCAAGCAGACTTGTCCGTGCCACTGCCTTTAAAGTTAATTTGCTACTGCATTTATGACCTGTCACAGATTATAT